TTAAGAGGTGTCGCCAACACACTGAGTAGACGTTGAAGATGTCCAGTTCACCTACCTCAGGTGCCCTTCCTTGCTTCTCTGCCCTGGCTCTGCTTTGTGGCTTTTCACATGTTGGTGAGCTGGGTTATTGCCCAAAAAGTTCATACATTTTGACTTGACGTCCAGCTGCTGCTTCTTGGCACCTGGTGGACCCAAAAGTGGCCCTGGAGTCTGTCTTTTGGCCACGTGCAACTACAAACTTGTTGCAAAAACTTAGTGTGGCCTCTATTATGCCTGTCCCCTATGTACCTTCAATCTTTGCATAACTGAAAACAAAAAGAGCATCCAAATGCTTGAAAGCAGCTCCATGTTGAAATGTGGGCTTCATGTCTTGTTTTTGAACGGGCATGGTAAGGGGTGGGAAAGCTGTGCTGCAAGCTGCAGAAAGGCTCTCTAGATGCTGTCACTTAAATGTTTGCATGTAGGTTAACGTTGACCATGTCTACTGACCTCAGAGTAGATTGGGTTTTCCTCATTGTTTTATGGTGCACTGTAAGGCAATGAACAAAAGATGCTTAAGGGATGATGAGTTCAAAGGTTAGTTCTTTACTGTTGCAGAAAAGGTGAAAGGCTGTTTTGAAACAGAAAATCTCCTCCAAACACAGGCTGGCCTGGGTTGGCTTCATCTTTTCTGGAGCAGATTTTTATAGCCCTTGAGCTCCTGTAACTCCTTGCACTGCTCCAGTTAATCAATCAGAAGAATATTCCCTGGGAGTACACTCCCTTTTTCTTCTCCCAGACACTGGATCCTCATCATTCCTCTGGATTTCTCATCATTCTTATCCACGTTAATGCACTTCAGCATCTCTGGCCAATCATCCAGTTACTGTGTGAAGTAAACACATGTAATCGTGTTAAAAGGGAAACTGGCAGAGTCTTTAATCTGTTTTTTTTCCCTGTACATTATTGCTATTTAAGTTCTGCATTTGAAATGCATCATTCAGTTTATCACAAGTTTACATTGATAGGTTTTGACCATGCTAAGACTGCTGAACTGTGAGTGTAAGAGCTAGAGAAAAGATGAAACTCTGGCAGAGATCTAAATGGTGTCTAATAGAAATATTGTATTCATTGAAACGAAACACGACCACCAGAACATTTTGGGCCATTTCTGATACATAAGTAAGATAATTAAATTTTGCAGCTTCACTTCCATGCTTTTCTGATGTCCCACGGAAACATTGGCTATAAGGACAAAAGGTGACAAAATAAAGGCAGTGTTAATAAATACATTGAAAAATAAATCAGGACTTGAATAAAGATCTTGGTAGAATGGGTACATTTTGGAAACATGAGGGAAGTGGTCATAGAGTATTAGTAGTAGGTTTGCAGTGAGAGATGTTTAAAAATGGAAACTGGAAATAACAGAAATGAAATTCAGGGGCAGTCATAAGGAACAGAGGAGTTGCCACATTGTTCATGGAGATTTGCACTTTTCTCAGTACTGAGCTACTTCATTTCATGAAGTATCATTTTTAAAGTGTAGTGAAAGAGTGAAAATGAGCAAAAAATAAGTACAGTTTTCATTCCAGCCCAGGTTCCCGTGTGTGAAAGAGTGAAAATGAGCAAAAAATAAGTAGTTTTCATTCCAGCCCAGGTTCCCGTGCTGACTTGCCATGCAGCTTTAAGTGAGCAGTTCGGCTCCAGCAGGTGTGTTCCCCTCTAGGCTGGCCATAGCAGCATCTCTCTCGAAGGACTCTCTCCAGTACTCACTGATTTATTTAGAGCTACGTAGTCTGCCTTAATAGTAGTTTTTGTGTTTGTATCCTGAGTGGTCACCATATTTATTAGCCTAGAGGAATGTGCCAAGTGCTTATATTTGCCTAAAGTAAATATTAACATTAAGGATGGTTGGATGGACAAGGGGGAAAGCAGCCCAGATCTCTTACTTGAATGGTAGCCTTATTTGTGCAGTTGCACTCTTGTTCCACAGATACCACATCTCGCTTGCAGAAGCTGGAGCTTCTGATAATTAAGAAAGGTTTGTCAGCTACAAAACGGATTACCAGAATTTAATTTTTGGGAGCAGTCCTTACCTGTTTCTTCCTTATGAAACCTCTTTGCAGTCTTAATCTCTGGTCTTGGAAAAATGCGTCAAGAAGCCAACACCATTTGATGAGATGGGTTTGAGGATGTCGACCTGCAGAAAGATGTCTCAAACAAAACAGGTTGTCGGAGTCATGATAAGAAGTCTGTTTGAGAGCCATAGCCTTGTCTTGTCAAAATGCGTTGTGTAAGAGCATGGATTGGTTGCGAAAGCCTTTCAGCCCTGTTCTGAGGAGCTCGAGTAATGCCGTGGACTGAGACACTGTAATTGTTTATTGAACTTGAAATAAGGGGGCACTAAGTTGTGCTTATCAGGTATCACAGAGACAAGAGGATTTTGTGTTCGTATCACTGTACGTCACTGATTTACACTCTAATGCTATTAGGATCTGTTTGCTTATAATTGCTTTTTTTATCTAGCTGTAAGATCTCTGGAACAAAACTGTAGCCTGGTGGCACTTTACATAAGCAAACCTGGTGTCAGAGTTGACTCTGGGTGATGAGGACGAAGGTCAGGGTGGTGGTTACTCTGATGCTGGAGGCTTCCAGCCTGGGCTGGGTCCCAACAACGCTGGCCGAGAAGCACCTCCTGCCACCTGATGTGAGGACGAGTACCAGCAATGGCATTGCGAAACAACCTTCATCCCTCCTTGGCCACCAGATTTGGGCTTGGGCAAGACTGTTGTGGCCTGAAGAGAGAAGAATTCCCACTTAAAGAGGGGATGGAGTGGCGATATGAGCATTTTTTGTGTTCGTATTCACTTGTAACTCAGAGGTCGGCCAGAGCTGCTTGTAGGTTTGAGAGAAGAACCTGATGGAAATACACGATTCACACCAAGACAAGTTGTGTTAATGGATGGAAACCTCCTTTTTTCAAAGCAGTTATCAACAAGTACCTTTGATACTTTAACGAAAATGTGTTGTTGCTGAGGCCAATGAGCAATCGTACTCCAAAGTGAATTACATTTCTAAGTGCTGGACATGAAATTGTTTTTACGAGGCATTCTCCACATTGCCTGCAGCATCTTTAATTAAGAATATAGTTAACGGAAAACCTAAATATCACCCAATTATTGTGATAACTTTTTGATGCTTTCAATATTGAATGCTTAGAAAATATGAGAGAGAATCCAGCATTTCCCACGCAGTAATATGCACGTGATCTTGATTATTGGTGCTGATAGAAAGTATGGGAGTCTTTGCAAGACTACCGTTTTTCAATTAAAAATTGAAAATTTAAATTGAATAGTAACACCAAAAGGTAGTAAATTGTGCACTGATTTGGGAAAAGAAGTGGTGACATGGTCAACTAAAAGTGAGTGGAAGAAGAGAACTTATTGGGAACCTCTGCTTGCAGTATAAGCTGCACACTTAGGTATCTGAAGATGGTGATATAAATACTCTCAGTTGATTAAAAATATTAATTTGATATACAAAAAGAGGGAAAAGTTTATTTAATTTATCTTCTGAGTGAATGTATTTAAAACTTAAGTGGTTTTCAACTTATGGGACAGACTTACAGCCTTGGCAGCAATTGGAGTCAGTGTTGTGCTTACAAGGGAGGGTACACGTATGGGAATAGTACACTAGAAACAAAACTAAATCAGCCACTTTTTCCTAGTACCTCTGTTCTGAGCTGGCTTGGTTACCAGGTACTGCTGGTTTTCAGATACTGGGGCAAGGTTACATCTCTACTCTCTTTCTTTTTGCATCTTGCATTGCAACAACAGGTGTCGGCTGACTCTAGCTCCTCCATGAACTCCAACACACCCCTGGTGAGGATCACCACTCGCCTCTCCTCCACTGCCGATGCCCCCATGCTGGCAGGGGTCTCAGAATATGAACTGCCAGAAGACCCAAAATGGGAGTTTCCAAGAGATAAGTACGTAGCCTGTTTCTCTGAACACTACCTATGCACATCTGAAATACATGGCACAGCATGGGAGGAACCATCTTTCCTAATATCTCGCAGGGTTTCTTTAGTTAAATGAAAGTCTCAGTTACCTGAACCTCCTCTGAAGATCAAGATCTAATTCAAGTATCTGAAATCAGTTGGTTTTTTTTTTTAAATAGAAGCTGAATTTTCTCTGCTGTCATTCTGATTTTATTTTCAGATTTCTGGTAGATTTTCAGACACCCTGCTCCTCTGTTATGAAAGAAGTGACTCTGAAATGTTATTTCAAAATATATATGACTTAGACTGGGAGAGATGTCCACATACAAGCATTGTTGAAAGGCAGTTGAGATTTCCCCACACAGTACCTCTGTACGTTAAACCATGTTTCTTAGCTAAAATAGTAAACTTAGTTGTTTAATATTTATAAAATATGTAGTAAAATATAATGCAGGAGACAGTCTTTTTTGTCAGGACCTTGCGGGTAGGATTTTGTGTTGATTTTGTATTAGCCTGTGTTAATGGAAATGATTGTTTTCAATTTAGTGGGGCATTTTGCATATTATGTACATACATGTATAACTTCTGTGCCTCAGAAATATTAGGTTTCAAGCAGAGCATACTGAATCTTGATATAGGCAAATTCATATGGCTACTTAATATTTTCTTCAAAGTCTGTTGACTAACATGCAAAATGAGCTGCTGAGTAATGTAATTACAGCTGTAACCATATTTCTTAATATAAAAACGACATGTAAAAGAGATACTAACACAGTTAGAACCATGATTATATATTAAAATTAGTACTAACTTTAAGAAGTCTTTAGGTGGCTTTGAGAAAATAACACCTTTTATTATGAGCAGCTCTCTTTCAAAGTTTAGCTTTTGGATAGAAGAGGTATAATTTTGAACCTTCTGACAACCATTCTGGAAATTATTTTAATGATGTAGCTGAAAACTAGTGCAAAATGCTGTAATTGCCACCTGCAGTATTCTAGTCAACAGCGGGGGCCTGTATATGTACTTCTGTCAGCCCATACCCTGCGGGGCTACACTAAATGCGGAAAATTTTAGAGTGCTAAACATTTAAAACCAGCATTCAGCACAAATGTAGGTGGAGCAGATTTGCAATGAAAGGAGGCTATTTAGAGGCGGTTTATTAGGTTGGGGGGCAGGAGGCATACAATGAGGGGTTTGTTACTTTAGTCCTAGCAAGGCAATAGCACATAAATTAACCAGTTTCCAATGCAAATGTTTGTTCTCTGCCAAGATCCTAAATTCGATTTTAGTTCTGCAGAAAATGCAGGATGACCTCAGTGTAGCATATGCTGCCCTTCAGTCTTTGCACCTTTTTAAACTCGCCTTTGCTTTAGAAACCAGTCCAAAACAGCTCAAGGAATTCTCACCGAGGCAGAGACTGCATTTGACAGGGAGTTTGCGGGCTGCCCTGGGGAGGAACCACCCCACACTTCTGTCTTGGGCCTGAGCAGATAAGCGGGGTTTTCAAACCACTTAGCTCCACTCTAACGCTCTTCTGTTGATGGTATGACAACCTCTCCCTGTATTTCATGAGGGAAGAAACAAGTCCATGCTTTTAAGAATGAGTCCTTACATATATCATATCTGGGAATCCTCCTTTTGACTATGGAAAGCCAAGACCTTAAGAACTCTGTTATGAAAATGCTTATTCGAATCTGGCCCCTACACTGGATAATGTTTGCAGCATCAATCTCACTGAGCACCCTCCTTGATTTTTACCATGGCACTGCTTCTGGAGTTAGACGATATCTTCTGCAAGTTATGGAGCCTGAATGTGGTCCTTAAGTATTTACACTGAAACCAAAAAGGTTTTGCTCCACAAAATGTATTATGTGTAGCTCGGTTAATGACTGCTCTTTTTAAAAGGTTTCTTACATTGATTATAACAGAGTTTCAGCTCCCACCCCATTTCATGCTTCCTGCCCGGGTGCTGCAGACAGAAGGCATCTTAAGTTATGGAGCCTGAATGTGGTCCTTAAGTATTTACACTGAAACCAAAAAGGTTTTGCTCCACAAAATGCATTATACGTACCTCAGTTAATGACTGCTCCTTTTAAAAGGTTTCTTACATTGATTGTAACAGTTTCAGTTCCCACCCCATTTTATGCTTCCTGCCCGGGTGCTGCAGACAGGAGGCATCTTCTGTTCCCCTCATCCATGACATTTGTGGCAGCGAAGAGCCCGCAGCCAAGAAACAGCCTCTGCGCTAGCCCCAGCTGTGGGCAAATAAAGCATCCCGTCTCGCCCCTTAAAGGATCAAAGTGCCGGGGGAAGGCGCAAGGATGTCGGAAGAGTGAGCTTGCTGTGGGTGGGGAGGCCGTGGAGAAGACGGCTCGTAGGGGAGGGCTTGGATCTGCCAAGTGCTTTGTCCCGTGAGGTGCTGCCTTTGGCAGGGCGAGCGTGGCCGCTGTGTGAGCTGCACCGGGCCTGGCAATGGAAGAGCGCAGCCGGCGGTCATGGTGGCTCCTGGCAGCTGTTCAAGGCCTCACAGGTGCCGTTACCCTGGCTCTCGCAGCAGTAACCCCTCCCCAGCCTTTGCCACACGCGTGTTGCCGGCCTTTTCCCCCTTCCCCTTCTCTCGCCTTCATCCTCTCTCCTCTCTGCCACAAGGAGGAGGCTGCCTGGCCACTGAAAGAGAAATAGGGGTGATAATTACCCACAGCTGTGCCCAAACATGGTGTCTGCTGACTTGCTGTCCCTGTCCTGTCTAATTCCTTCAGTGCAAGAGATCGTTGGGCAAATGTTCACGGCCTGCATCCCCAAACAGAAAGCAAGAAAATGAATTTTGAGCTAAATTGAGCAAGTTTTATTTTCTTTTCTGTTTGCACTGTGCCGTTATATCACAAGGGTTAGTAATATTTAAAACATCCCTCCCTGCTCTTAATGCTCCTCTATACCTCACAAATCATCAGCTGCCTGAAAGCGACCGCATGGCAACATACACAAAGAAACTTTTCTTTCATCTCCTGGCAGTTCAACGTGAAAAAGACACCGACCGGCCGTGTTATGATGGCAGAGAAAGCTTGCGCCTTGCTGACTGCTCCTGAATTTCAGCTGCGGTCAGGTGGTTTTTGAAAGCTCTGCCTCTCCACGCTGTGTCTTGCCGTTACCCAGCCTCTGATTACGAGGAGAGGGAGAGCTGAAAAGCTGGGTTTAGCAACTGATCTGCCCATATGAGATGCTCGCTATATACCATCCCTAAGAAAACACACTGTGGCACGCGTGAAAACCGATGCGCGCCACGAGCCTCATTAGTTCCATATGATAAATGCTTCATGCTACGGCGAGTTGTTGAAAGCAAGCTTTTTATATTTAGCCCTGGAATTTCACTGGCTGCATCCCTTCGCCAGATGCTGTGTGTTAATCTCTTGTTTACACCTCTAGGCTGACGCTGGGCAAACCCCTGGGAGAAGGTTGCTTTGGGCAAGTCGTCATGGCCGAGGCAGTGGGGATCGACAAAGACAGGCCGAAAGAAGCGGTGACTGTGGCAGTGAAGATGTTGAAAGGTAAGAAAACGGGCTGATTAGGGATCGGGATGGGTGATATGGCAATTCTCATCCACAAAAAGTTGCTTTTGTGGCATCTGAACTCTGTCATTGTGGGGGGGGTCAAAGAGCACATAGCTGACCTCAGCCTTCAGCAGTTTGGGGTGTAAATCTGCTCCCTTGACAGCCTGTTTATCTTGAGCAGTGAGTATTTAGGAGCCAGGAGATATATTAGCATCGTGTGGGTCTCTCTGCTTTTAGTTTGGTTCGTGTCAGAAGCTGTCCATGTCTAGATGCTAGTCCGTTCAGCAGTCCAGGTGGCTCGTGCCTATTTATTTTCAATTTAACTGTATGGTTGGTTTACAGGAAAGGCATCGTTTTTGGAGGTTTGATAGCTAAGAACAGCATTTTAATGTTTGATATTACTGTGTCGCCTCTTAACATATAACACTGAAGAGGTGGTCAGTCCATCAAAGAGATTGAGACTATTTTTTGTTAGGACATAACCTATGACTTTGTGTAGCATACAGTGTGTACTGGAAAACAAGTCCCGTATTCTGTATTTTGAAGCACACATTTTACACCAAATGTTGAGCCTTAGTGGACTAGAAAATACGAACTGTACTTGTGTCTTGTACAGATGATGCTACAGAAAAAGATCTGTCTGACCTGGTGTCAGAGATGGAGATGATGAAGATGATTGGAAAGCATAAAAATATCATCAATCTTCTTGGAGCCTGTACCCAGGATGGTGAGTAGAGAAAAGAAAGTAAGCCAGGACTTTCCAGCAGGTCTGCAAAATTCTCATTAATCATAATTCTTCGAGAGTTTTTAAGGAAGCAGTCATGCCGTGATGGGATTTTTAGATATTTCCCTAGCTTAGCAGCAATATTTTAGCTTCTGTCTCTCATTATACTTGCAGCTTTAATATGAGAAAGGTACTATATCATATGAAAACTCTCTAATCCCTTGCTGTAAAGGAAAAACGACATTTTACAGGGGCTTTACCCATGCCTGTTGTTATGAATTGTCA